GCATGACCATCCCCCGTGGGGGGTGATTTCTCGCTTTCTGTCTCTCTGTCTCTCTCTGTCTGTCTGGCAAGCGCACACGCCCTATAGCGAAAAACCTCTCAAAAAAAAAAAAATAAAAAAATAACTGTCTCATGGCACAAATAGTAATACATTGTTCAAAAGAAGCCAGTCCCATGGTTACTATGGTTCCCATCCCTGACCCAGTCAGCCTGAGACATGCCAGGCATGCACAGAAGTGCCCAAGACCCTACAGGCTGAAGGACCAGAGGAAAGGGACCACAGCATGACCAGCCCTGTGGAGGCTGCTCTTCTCTGTCTCTCACTGTCTCTCTCTCTCTCACACACACACACACACAAAAACACACACACACGTGATCACACACCTTATCAAGGATAAAGGCAAAAACTCTCCTGGGCCAGCAGGTGGCATGAAGGCTAAGGCAGCTGCATCCCACATGGTCGAACGCACAGTTCAAGTACTGGACCTGGTGGCTTAAAAATCATGACAGGTGTGTGTGCTTGAACCCAAGATCCTGAGAAGAGAACTGAGAGGGAAGGGATTGCAGAGTGGCCATCCCCTGGGAGTTGATTTCTCACTTTTCTTCTTTCTCTCTCTGGTGAGTACACATGCCCTATAACACACACTAAAAACAAAACAAACTAAAAGAACTGTCCCATGAAAAAATACCTAAGACTGCTCGATAAAATATGGATCATATGTATTTTTAATTATTTTATTTTACTTATTTATTTTATTTATTTTTATTTTTATTTGACCAGAGAGGGACAGATTGGGGGTGGGGGGAGAGTGAGAAAGCAAGCCACCAGGTTCGGGACTTGAACTATAGTCAGCCATGTGGGAGTCCAGCGCTCTTAACCACCATGCCACCTGCTGGCCCCATGGATCTTGTATTTTTAAATTCATGGTTAAACTGCCAAGAATGTGAGGAACACCCTCAATGGTCATAATAAAAGTAGCGACATGGATTCAGAGAGCTGAGTCTCGAAACCAGTGTCTGCCTGTGTCAGGATCCCATACCCACTCACCCACTGAGTGAGCCGCTCGAAGGACCCACAGGGTCAGCACGCAGTTGTATTCATGGCTAAAGTTTATTACAGCAAAAGGGTACACAGCTCTTAACAAGAGGAAAGACACATTAGGTGGACTTGAGGAATCCCGGCTCAGGCTTCCTACATTTCCCACATGGGAGATCACGCAGTAACACATCAATGTTTCTATGTAGGGCCTAAGAGCTGGGGTTTTCACTTGAGACTGCCCACATATGCACTCTCTCCAAACACACACATACTACAATTCAAGACTCTCCGAGGAGAAGCAGGTGTCATTGGAAATATGCATTGTTCATACAAGCTGCCTCAGCAAGCTG